TGTATCAGTCCCCCCCCCCCAGCAAATGCATAGCACTGTATCTGCACACCGAGCCTTGGGGATAAGGAGATGAGTGCAATACACTTCCAGTCGCCCTAGGGCTGATTTGAAGAGGGAGAGTCATAAAGCAGTGGCACTACAGTGGAGTGAGTTTTCAGAGAAAGATAAGAAGCCCAGACTGTAGGAAAGCCTAACTCAGATTGGCCACTGGTGGTTTGGGGAACAACAGAGGAGGGGGATATGTCAGATGAGGGAAGGCTTCCTGGAGAAAGTGGCATTTGAGCTGGGGTTTTGAAAAGTGAATAGGAGCTAACCAAGCAAACAAGAGAAAAGGGCATTTCTCAGCACTACACTCTCCCGAGTGAGCCACGGGCCGGCCCCCTGAAAAGGGCATTTCTGATAGAAGGAACACACGTATGCAAAGACAGGTTGGCATGAGAGCACATGAGGCGTGTCTCCTAGTGGTTTGGTGCAGAGGTCGCTTGGAGGGTGATAAGGCAGGAACAGCAAGCAGGTTTCACACACACAAGGGTCACCAAATGCTGTAATAAGCTGGGATTTTAACCAAAAGATTTTGGGCAAAGCCATGATGAGTCAAGACAGTGATGGCAGTGGAGAGGCTGACTTGGAAGGCCAGGGGCACAGACCTGGAGCTGGAATGACAGTTAGGAGGTTTGTGCTGAAATTTAGGTAGAAAATGATGAGGACTTAAAATAAGGCAGTGGCTAAAGTGAGGGACAGGTTCAGAAGAGATGATGTGAGGGACACAACTGAGGTGACCAGATGACTGACGGCTTGGGGTAAGGAATAGAGAATGTCAGGCATCAGCTGTCAGGTGCTGGTCACTGAAAAGTGGACCACTGGAGCAGCCGCAGGTAGAAAGGGAAGAGATGGCCAGAGGTGGTGACCTGAGTTTTGAGTATACAGCCATTCCTTTCTATATGCAGGGCATTGGTTCAGGGGCCCCAGTGTATATCAAAACCTGCAGATACTCAAGTCCCACAGTTGGTCCTGAGAAACCCACATATGTGAAAAGTTGGCCCTCCTAATACATGGGTTCCCCATGCCACAAGTACTGTATTTTCGATCTTCAGTTGGTTCAAAAATATCTGCATATAAGTGGACCGTGCAGTTCTGACCCATTGTTCAAGGGTCAGCTGTACTGATTCTACCTTTCTAGGTGGAAGTGTTTTATAGGA